GCTCTGCACTGTCAGCAATGTGGAACCCAACGCAGGGCTTGAACTCATGAATTGTGAGATCATGACCTGAGCCAAAATCAAGAGTTGGACCAACTTGAACACCCAGGCACCCCAGGACAGTTCTTTATACAGCTCATAAGAGTCTCGTCTCTGTGGACCTCTGCTAGAACCTCCAGACAAATACTTCTATTTTTCTGTTATTGCTTATTCTGCTTCTTTTTCAAAGCAAAAAACAAACAATAATAAGCCTAAAAGCACAATTGGAAGAGGGCCAGAGGGCCAAAGCCCCTGGAGACTCCTTCACTTTTGCTGTTTTTCCATTTGAGAGGTGGTCACACCTTGGCCATCACAGAAAAGAAGTGAGGGCAGTTGGAGAATGGTGGGGGTGGGGGGAGGGGAGGCAGAAGAATGGGGCAGCTGGAACATGGTGATAGCTGGAGGGGGAGGCTGCTGGGAACTGAGGAAACAAAGGAGTTGCAGCTGTGATAATCTGAACTACCTTGATACACTTCTCTATCTCTCAAGGCATTAGAACTTCCAGTGAGAGAAACTGCTAGAATACGAGCATTTTCACCCAACAAAAGCCAGTTGTCACACATAAACCAACCTGGTTCTCTGACAGAAGTCAGTCCTTTAAGGTACACATAACTCTATGCCTTGAAGCAAAACCTCATTAGAAGCCCACTATGTGGAATCCTGGGCTGGCCTCAGCTAGAACTGCCTGTGTGAAGATACAACCCATTAGCTTACTGAGAGGACAAACCAACTCAAAGCCCTTCTTTGAGGCTTAACAATGCATATGCTAATTAAATGAGTTCTATCTTCTCATTCAAATTAATCCTGAAGGAAGGACCTCTGCCAGTCTATTCTTAGTTACTGCTGGCATTTCAAGGAACATAAATAAATGCTTTCCCTTTAAAAAATAGTCATTGGGAGTGCCTGGTTGGTTCAGTGAGTTGAGTGCCTGACTCTTGGTTTCGGCTCAGGTCATGGTTCGCAGAGCCTCCTTGGGATTTTCTCTCTCCCCCTCTCTGCCCCTCCCCTGCTTGTGCTCTCTCTCTCTCAAAATAAATAAATTTTAAGCAATAATAAAAATATAAACAAATAAATAAATAATTCTATGAATCCATCAAATTCTCTTAATTTAAATGGCTTTGCCCACATTTGTCCAAATAATAAAACTTTACCATCTTGCGCTTTTTCTCTGAAGAGTGAGTTTTAGGCCTTTGTTGGAGGCATCATTTCTGTTTGAGTCCAGCCTCTTCAACCTTTTTGGTTGAACCTGAATCCAGGAAACCCAGCAACAATCTTAAGATTTCATTTTCCTTCCTGTGGCAATGAGAAGCCAAATTCCCATGTTGGAACTCATCGTATAGATGCTTGTTCTTCATTTCTAATTTTCTCTTCCGCGTCCTTTTCCTCATTGTTGTCTTCAGGTAAAATAATTTCTGTTTGATACAGTTTTCCCCACCCTGGTCCTTAACGGGTCAGTGAGTCCCCTGTGGCTTCTTGGCTCTGATAGCAGGGGGTATTGCTGTCTTTGGTCTTTTTGTTTCATCGGGGCTGCTCAGCGATAGTTTACATGGCTCTTGGAAAGTTCTAGGAGTGTGGTGGCTGTCCCATTCCTCACACTTTAAGCAGAAGACATCAAAATGCCACAAGGAATTATGTTTTCAAAGATGCTGTGAGGAAAATCCAATAAATACCTCAAATGTTATAGTAAAGCAGTGGTTCTCAGCTGGAGGTAATCTTGGCCCAGGTGTCTGACAATGTCAAGAGACATTTCTGGTTGTCCCAACTTGGGGAGGGAAGTGCTACTGGCATCTAGTGGGTAGAGGCCAGAGGACTCTGCTACACATCCTATAAACAATTCTACCCCCAAATTTAAACAGTACCAAAGTTGAAAATCCTGAATTAAAGGGATTCTGGCTCTTTTTTTCTTTTTCCTAAAGGCCTGCGAAAAGAGAAGGGAAAAAGAAATAACGAAAATTCTCCATTATTATGAGTGCAAGTGTCCCAAGTTCTTTACATCCCACACAGATCCAGGAATTGGAGAGCACAAGGGTACCACTGAGCAGGGCAAAGTGCAAGGTCAAGGCAGGTCTTCTCGGCTCCAACAGCTGTCTCAGCTCCAAAGAGAGACAACTCAGACCAAAGCAGAGGACCAAAAAGTTACAAGGATGTTTAGTTTGTGATAAAAATCATTTTGCAGATTAAAGTGCTTCCTCCTGCCCATAAAATGGTATGTTCTTTAAATAACTCAAAAATAGGAGACATTTAACTGTGTTGTGAGCAGGAGGCAGAACTGCTGCTCAGAGCCACGGTCAATTAATTCCATCCTTGTAATCAAGCCTACCCAAGCTGTAGGTGGTGGTGCTCTCCATATTTTCTCTAATGTGCCATTGAACTACCCTATGTTCTAAATGCCACTGTTTTCAACCTGAAGGGATTCCAGGGATGTTTCCTGGACCCAGTTTCTCTCTCTATGTCTCTTGGCTTCATTCTCCCTCACTCCTTCAGAAGTAGCTAGATGGCTGCTCAACTGCCAGATGCTTCCTCCTCCCATATGCAAGCCCAAATAGGAAGAATCTCTTTCCCAAGATCCTCAGCATAGCCTCATTGTGTCTCATTGGCTTTGATTGGGTCACATGCTCATCCCTGAGCAGTGAAGTGGCTAGGGAAATTCTAGGAGCCAATTGGCTGAGGCCAAGGTTATAGCACACTCCTGAGCTGGGGGTGAGTCTAGTGTGATGCATGTGAGCCACATGTGAGTAGATGTGTCAAAGGGAAATTGGGGTAAGATAATCAAAACAGGAGGAATGGATGTCCAGGAGAATAAAGACACAGACACACACAGACACACACACACTACTTGCTATGAAGAGGCTTTGGATTCGGGGATGGAAACCTCAGGTCCTTCCCTTTAATGACCTGTCTTTGCCATTAACTACCTGTGTCATTTGAGAGAATTCCATAACTCTCCCTGCCTTCTTTATCTCATCCACAACATGGAAATAATAATACTAACAGGGTGGTGATAAAGAATCAACCTTGGGATATTGGAAAGGTTGTGCAAACAAGTAGTGGTGGTGGTGTTAGAGTTGAATGGATTCAGTTCAGCTTCTAGAGTCTAGAAGAAGACCAGCTACAACCCACCCAGCGAGTCTATGCCAGCCTTCGGAAGCCAGTGTCTAAATTTTTCCCAATCATTGTTGCAGGTCAGTGTGGGAAATCTTCTGAGGTCAATGATTGAGGTAATTGGCTTGCTGTGGATCTTTAAAAAGTCTCTCTGTTAAATGACATAATTGGTTTTAATTATATAATTATGGCACTTAAAGTGTGGGGGTGAAAGGTTACTATTATATTTAGAAGTGAGATCCCCAAATGAAGCAAGGGTGTTCAAGCTAGTGTTTCTTCAGATTTCTCGTTTTATTTTTTCAGAGGGAAGTCAGAATAGGCTGGCCTTGGCCCTGGCCATTTTGGGATGATTATCTCACATGAGGTAGCGCTGGGGCTGCTCACGGCATCATAGGAACCTTTGTAAAGAGACGGGGAAAGGGCTTCCGTAAAGACCTCATTGCGATCTGGAGTTAATGAGCAGTGGGAACTCAACTGTCAGCAATTGAATGTGATTGGGCAGGGTAATTATATGATTGCCTCTGGTGTTTGCACATGCACAGGGATATTTTTATTGGAAAAAACCTAATTGCTTACTTACTTAGTGGAGGGAAAACCTAAACAAATTTGTGTTGTCATAGATTAAAAAGACATCCTTTCTTTGTCTCTAAAATAGCCGCTTACTCTCCTTTCTAGAAGTGAGGGTTTTGTTCTTTTCATGTTCAGTAAGGGATGTTGTTTGCAGGACTTGAATTATATGCTAATATGAAAATGTAAAGGAAAGCTACTTTGGACTGTGCGTTTTGGTAAAATGACCATGTGCTTACTGCCATTTCTTAAACCATCCTCTACAATGATCTCTTTCATAAGGCAAATGCAGCTAGAACCCTGGGCAACACTGAAGTTACTGGGGTTTTCACAGGTTGTTTTTTTGTTTGTTTTGTTTCCCTGTGTGGAGCCTTGTGGCATGATTGGCTTCAGAAGCTATCCAGTTTTCCTTGGTTGCATTAGGCAAGTGGGAGTTATCATTTCTATGGCAGCCTTTTAGACATCAAAACATCAAGGGTAAGAGGAGCAAAGTGTTCCCTCTGTGATTTCCCAGGACCTTGGAGGAAAGGAAAGGGCAAAGTGAGAGAGCCTGAGGGAAGAAGCCTTGGGGCTCCCACTTTGGTGACGCCAAATTTCTGCCCAGCGTCGCATTTTGACAATCCTGAGTAAGTCTGGTATCTCAGTTACCTGTCATGTTGGTGTGCAGAAAACAGATTGCTGCAACTGGGTCTATCCTATAGCAGTTCAAGTCTGCATTTTTGGTTTGTTTTTTCTATCTTCTTATAGAACAAACTATTTTCTGAGTTCTCTCCTGAGATCCCACCAAAAGAGGCCAAAGCATGACTAGATTGTGGGGTTTGAGGGAGCACCTTGCGATGAGAGCAGCCCGTCAGATCAGCCATGCTCTCTCATCTCAGAATCTTGCATGTGCTACCACACTAGTCTTATCTAGCTAACTCCATGCATCCTCTAGGCTCAGTGTTAAATGTCACTTCTTCCAGGAAGCCTTCCATGACCACTCACCCCAAGTCTGGGTTGGCTACCTTTGCTTTATGCTCCATGACACCCTCTAGGTTCCTTTATCCACTGTCCTTTAATTGCTTGTCTCATTGTCCTGAGAACCCAAAAGCTCCATGAAGGCAGGGCTTATGTTTATATCTGTCACTGCCATATCCTCAGAGCCTGGCACAGTGCTCCATGAGTATGTTCAGAATGACTGGATGAGAAAGGAATGATTGTGAGTGTTGTAGGGAATTGTGGTGTGTGCTGCCTGGGCTTCCCTACCCTTGCTGTTAATACCGCTTTCTTGTTGCTTATAATTTTCATTGCCCCAGATGATCCAGCTCTGTCGGAGGCACGGAGGCACAGTCAAATCTCATGCTGTACATTGATCACCTGTCCAACCTTTGCCTAGAGTGGGAGCCCCCAGTTCCTTCAAGAGATCCAACTTTACCTGTCTGTAAAGAAGAAGAGGAGGAGGGAGACAGCGGGGAGGATCCGGTGGCAGTATAACACCAGAGCAGGTCCAGTGTTTACTCTTACCCTTTTGGAGGTGGGTAACTGCAAATACCATGGGGAGCTGGGTTTCAGAGAGAAACCTGTCCACTGACCTCGGATTTGGGGGCTCATGCACACTTTATTTTTTGTTAGCGTGTAGAGGTTGCTGTTTGTGTATTTAGCTCACAGCCAGACCATCCCACAGTTACCCCAGCGTAGAATAAGGATCCAGGTTCATCATCCACATGATGTAAATTCTTATGTCAGTCTCATGTTGTTTGTGTCTTGCTCTGTGGGCAGAGAGCACGGTTCATTCATTGGTTCCTGTTTCATGACTATTGTATTTATCATTTGCTTTTCAAGGCCTATGATTTTCAGCAGCCTCTCTTGTTTTGATTCTCTGGCCTTTGATGTTTTGAATCCTCCCCCAGCCCACCTTAGACCATGAGATCCTGAATTACTACCAAAGAAATGAGCTGGCACTGAGACCACCCCTCAGTATTTAAGTATGGTCTTACACAGCCCTGGGGTGTGTCTAACCAGCTTTTTCCCTAAGCAGAATGTGAACCTCTGACCTTGTAGCCCTCGGGCAGAAGGGCTTCCTAGTAAACCCCTAAACCCCCACGTTTGGACTGCCCGTGGTGGGTTGAGCCATGATAACAACTTCTGGGGGAATGGGCATTTGCATGTAGAAAACTATGGCTCACGTGTGGCAGGAAAGAGGAAACCCGCAGAACCCCGGGGTGCTTCTTGCACAGTGGTCTGCGCCGATTTCCCTCAGTCTAAAGCATACTCTCTCACTCTGTCCTTTCTGAGTCTCTGTTTAGTTTTTGTTCTTTAATTGCATTTCTGCTTTGTCATAATAAGCACCTCAGCTGGAATCTTTGAGAGTTCCTTCAAGAGAATGTGAAGAACCCCTGCTTAGAGTAGAGTAGGTATGTTCAGCAACGTTGTGTGCTTTGAATCAGATAGAAATGGACCATAGTGAGCTTTATGCCTGAATCCCAAGGAAAAGTTCAGTTTAAGTTTTCAGTTTTGCCTCGGATGCCTCACCACCTCACATCCTTTCTGGACTGAGGCACATAATTACTGCCTACACAAATAAATCACATACTTTTGTAAAAAAAATTTTTTTTTCGGAATGACATTTGATTTGCAATTAAACTTGGTGATGTGGTCTCTGAAGTGTCTCATCTTGTCTAATCACAATGATTTATGTCCTTTCAGAACACTTCTGCACGCAGGGCTTAGTTCTCTGGTTATCATTGCATAACATGGTGCAGGGAATCACTTAAGAACAGAAAAAGACAGGGGTGCCTGGGTGGCTCCGTCAGTTAAGCATCCGACTTCGGCTCAGGTCATGATCTCATGGCTCGTGGGTTCGAGCCCTGTGTCTGGTTCTGTGCTGATAGCTGGCTCAGAGCCTAGAGCCTGTTTCAGATTCTGTGTCCACCTCTCTCTTTGACCCTCCCCTGCTCACACTGTCTCTCTCTCTCAATCTCAGAAATAAATAAAAAACATTACATTTTTTTTTAAAAAGAACAGAAAAAGACAAATTACAATAGATGGTTGCCATCTGAGGTAAGGTTCAAACCACTGATTGTTTCTGTTGTTTTGTTTGAAAAAATATTTCCATGGCCCTTCATTGACTGGTTTATTCAACAACTAGATTTAAGCCCTGGCTTTCTAAGTGCCCTGCTTGGACCAGCAACCTGCTTTCTAGCATCTATCACCTGGGAGCTTGTTAGAAATGCAGATTCTCAGGCTCCACCCAGAACTGCTGAATCAGAAACTCTGCAGATGGGGTCCAGCAAGCTGGGTTTGAATGAGCTTCCTGGTGATTCTGCTGCACACAGAAGTTTGAGAAGTGTTGGTTTAAAAGTTCTATGAGTTCATGAGGTGAGGGCTTTTATAGGAGCATACCTAGGGCCCTGTTAGCAGGGAGCTTGTGATCCATTTTGGGCACAAGGCATAAATTCATCAGACAGTTTGGCAGAATGATCTTTATAAAATGTAAATTACACCACACACTCACTTCCTAAATGCCCCCAGGCAGTTCCCTTTGTGCTTGGAATAAATATAAATGCTTGGCGAGGGCCTACAAGGCTGGCATGCACCATCCCCTGCCTACCTGCCCAGCCTCATATTGGTGCCATCCCCTCCTTCTCCTGGAGCTCTGCCACACCACCCTGACCTTCTTTCCGATCCTGAAACACCTACTGCATGTGATGTCAGCAGGAATAGAGGAAGGAGAAGGAAGAGAGAAAATTGCACAGGTTAAGTAATAGGCTTGGTCACTGAAGTATGTTTTCATACAATTCAATATTTCTAAACCAATGTCCCTGTTGGCTAATATATTGATATTTATATGTATTTATGTGATAATACATTCATGTGATAATCTGTAGTAGCAGCCTCATCTTGTAGCTTAGCAAAGTCTGAAAGGAGTTGCTGAATTGTTAAGGAAACATTAACTATAGTTTACTTTACTCCTAATGTCATGTATTTGTATTGATTTCTGTGTCTAAGAGCTGGCCCAATAGGCACAGTGCTCTGCCAGCCACTGAGAGCTGAGGAAACGTGGCTGGAGGCACGAGGTGCTGAGTGTGAAGTTCTCTGTATGGCACCAGAACATTCATGCAGCCCTGGCATAGTTCTTGCTGCCTTCACTTAGTTTTAGGAAAGATGGGGACCATGTTCGTTAGGTTTTGTCTTTGTAAAAAGTTACCTGTGAATGCCAGTTTTGGGCTTTGGAGTATTAAATGCACCATGTGATTTGGGAGCAAAGCAGCTGTTTGGATTTTTATGGAATGTGAAAAAAGGAAAAATGATCTCTTAGGATTCTCTTTATAATGAGAAGGGGAAACATATTTTAAATATGACTTGTTTAAAAAAACTTATTTGATTTTGAGGCAAAGGGCTTGTTAAAGATTTGGGACTCCTAGAGTGAGGAACCCAGTGGTTTTGGGGTTTTGTTTTTTTGTCTTGACTACCCACAGCTCTTTTGCAGTAAAAGGCTATATTATAAGTGTAGCATCTCTGGTTTGAGGCATTATTTGCTTTTTATGAGGCCTCTCGTTTGAGCTCTTCAGTAGAGGAGGGAAAGGTATATTTGAAGGAGCCATCAAGGAAAGTGGGAGGTGGGAAGTGCTGGCAGCCTTCCAGTCTTCCCCGACCTTGTGGAGTTTTCCCTGGGGACTGGAGGAAAGTCACCCAACCACATAAATGCCCTGACTCACCAGGAAGCCTTTCCTATTGGAAGGCAAAGCCAGGCTAGCAGGCATGACTGAGAATGCACCTGTGAACAAGACAGACACAGCCCGTCCCTGCCCTCCAAGAGCCCACTGCCTGGAGGCCAGGAGACATTAGCAAATAACCGGTCAAAGAAAGGTGCATTTTCATACTTTGAAAGATGCTCTGAAGGCGAAGAGAGCCAGGAGAGCAGAGAACAGGGAAGCAGATTCCCTCTTGGGTTAGCAGGGAGGCCTGCTGTTTGGACACAGGTTTGAAGCTGAGAACCAGAGGATAACCAGGTGTTTATTCATGCAGTTGTCTAGCTTGGTGGCATGGTGGAGGTGAGAGGGGGAGCGTCCCTGGGGAGCTGGCACCACACCACCTCCCATACTAGCTAAGATTCTGCCACAGAGGCCGCCACAGCAGAGAATCTCTGAGCAACCACATGGGCAAACATACCCAAAGCCTGGCTGCAGAGTGAGCCCCAGGGGAGGAGCTCTTCCCCCACAGAGACAGATTTCCAAGTGTGCACTGACAGGGCTCCCACCCCTGTGCCTAAGCGTGGCATGAGCACCTGGCTCCCAAGGCTTCCAGTGTTTCTCTGAAATCCCTTCTTTACAGGACAGCCTCTGTTGGCCTCCTCCTTGAGGGCAAAGCTGCCTGTAGGGCACATTTTTCATACCCTGGAAGATTCTTATGTGGCTTTTAGGGAGGCATTTCAGTCATGTTCAGAGAATCTTCCAGGTGTGGTCAGCAGTTCCGAGGAATGAGGAACTGTCTTCACCCACTGCCTTGACCTGGAGTCATTACTACACGTATCTCATTTGTCCAAGCTAGGACAAAGTTTGAGGGCAGTTTCTTTGTTTGTATATGTGTGTGTGTGTGTATGTGTGTGTGCATGCACGCATCTAACACGCTGACTTTGCCCAGATCTGGCACTCAGAAATAGTGGGCAAATGAGAGAAGAGGTTCTATAAATCCAAATGTCCTTGCAGTACTGAAGCTTGATTTAGGAGTGTGCAATCGAAGTGATATCTGATTCATTCATTTATTCGTTTATTCATTCTCCCACCCAAAAGCAGTTACTGAGGTCTTACTGTTTCACTGGGCAGCCAAAACACAACGGTCAGTCAGTCTGCGATCCATACTGGTGATTACAGAGGAAAGACAAAACTAACTCTGCCTCCCAAATCCCTTTCTGTTCTGGTCCCACTGAGTTCTGTAGCTGTTCATCCCTCGCCTGTCATTTAGGAGTGACAGTGCAGGGTACCAGGCTCTGAGTGTGTCTGCTTCTCCTCAGAGAGGCAGAACTTTCCCATAGGAGGGGACTCATGGAATGAGCCCTGACTTTTAGAGTGCCTAAGGACAGCTCACTGGCTGTCTGCACAAAGCCTGGGAGCACTAAATGACAGAGGGCAGTTAAACTTCAGGGTGGTCTGAGTGGCTTTTTAAAAAAAATAACAAATTAATAAAGACATCTGAGTTTGGAGCATCTGAGTTTCTCCTTACTGAAAAAGACCTAGCCTGTTTTCTGAGGAGACAGAGGTTTCCTTTGATTGAAACAAAGGGACTATTTCTGCAGACCTGAAAAATTAGGGGCTGGGGTCCCAAATAGAGCCTATAAGCCAATTCTGCTCACGTGACTGTTGGGCTGGCCCACACAAGGTCCCCCCCCAAACCTGCAAATATCACATATAATCCACATTTCTGGATTTGGGTGGGGTAGCATCAGATGATCCAGCAACACAGGGCCATATTCCCACAAGTTGTCACAGCATCCCCTCTCATCCCG